TTCTGTGTTCGTAAATATCTTTTGTAGAACAGCACAGAATGTTGACTGACTTTGAAGGTGTTGCAAGAAAAAACGAAGTAGGGTTCCGCATTTGGACTAGCAAAGAGGTTTGTCAATCGTTCTCTCACCCTCAATTTTTTTTCTTTCAATAAGTCGATTACATCTCAGCCTTAAATTCGCTGTTTTTTATTTCTGTTTAATTTAATGAGACAATTTCTGTTACAGAATTCTAAATTATGCTTCTTTTTTCCATGTTAGGGTATTGGGATGCTAAGGGGTTCTTATAACTTAGATGGGTATGCTTCAAGAAGGTTGGTTTTATTCTGGAAGAATACCCATTTGGTTTTCGACATAGTTTATTTAGTTAAATATATGGTTGCTGGTGAAATGGATTAGCCAAATATTGCATATGTAATATGCCTACAAATTCTTAGTATTGTTGTGAACAGTCAGTTTAAGTGGAGGATTGTTGTATGAAATTTGGTGAACAAATATCTAGAAATTATCTTCACAGTTTCTTAGGTTCCATTTAATTTGGTATTTGTTTTTGTGTGATATATTTCTCTTAGGGCATGTCAAATGGTAAAGCTGCAATTAATGGTGTCTTTTTTGTGTTGCAGTTCCACCAGTACCAGGTTGTTGGGAGAAAGCTCCCTATGGCATCTAATGAGCACCCCAAGATTTACCAAATGAAGCTCTGGGCCACAAATGAGGTTCACGCCAAGTCCAAGTTCTGGAATAATCCTTAGCCTTCCCAAATGTTCATTGGTGAATTTTTGGTTAAACTTAATATTGTTGATTGATTTGTTTGGATTAGGTATTTCATGAGGAAGCTGAAGAAGGTCAAGAAGAGCAATGGCCAAGTGCTTGCCATTAATGAGGTTTGTTCTCTTTGCCGTTTATACTTTATTTTTTTCCAATTAATAAATTTGTACCCATTTTGATTATTTGTTAGTGTCTAATGTAGTCAATGTTTTTTTGGGGTGGGGAAGTGGTTCCTTCTCAACTCTCCTCCTGGCAAAATCCAATTTGTTGCCAAAGGGCTCCACCTTTGACCCCAAAGCGTCACTCTTTTATCACATTTATTTCGCTTTTTTCTAATTTTGTTTCGATAATTTGAATCGTATTTTGTATTTGATGTTTGGCTTTGGTGGCAGATGTGAAGGAGGTTGCGTCATAGGCATCCTCTGGAATATTATGAAAACCTATCAGCATATCCACACCTTCTTTTACACCCGATTTCTCTGCACATTCTTCTCAAAAACTTAAATGCTTTATGCTCCATAGCCTTTGGTAGTTTTCTCTTCTTTCACTTGGTTCCATTTTAAGTTTGAACTTTTTTTTAAAAAAATCTTTATTGTAAATTTGTTACTTTAAATCCTTAATTTTAGGATTAGTTGTGGTTTATTTTTATACCTTATAATGAATTGAGATGTGGACAATGAATGTGTTTCTTCCTTCATAGTTATGGTTTATTTTTATACCTTAAAATGATATTTCTCTTGATATCTTTTCTTTGGTATATAGGTGACATGAAGCAGAAACAGGGAAGGAAATCTCATATGAAATGGGTATTTTATGTTGGAGGTTAGGTTTATCTTATGATTTTTTTATGTTAGATTTCATACTGAATCAATTTGAAAGGTTCCCCTGAGGACTATATGAATTTCTTTTTAAGTTTTTATGGTTATAAGTTATAACATATTAATTTTTTTTTTTTCTTATCAGTTCTTTCAACTTTATTTTGCTAATTCAGTGATAGTAGTTGTCAAAAATGGCATCAAAGCTTGGCAAATCTATGCTTGATGGGGTTGGTGTTACGGTTTGATCAGTGATAGGACTTTTGGTTAAATCCCAAGCAGGGAATGCATTCTTTGCCATAGTTCCCGGACAGGTCCTCTTGGCTTCCCTTGATGCTATCAGTAAGTTGATTAGGGTTGTACAACCTATAGGTGTTTATAGGTTATTTCTGGTTTTATAGCTTCTCCATTAAATTAACATAGCCTATAAATGGCAATACATGTATCAGTTTTGACCATAGGTGTCTATAGATAATTTATTCTTTTGTACAACAAACTTGCACATGGTCTGATTCTGTTATGGGTATTTGGTGTGATTCTATTAAAGTCTGGGTCTTTTGGTTTCATTCTGTTATAGGTATTTAATAATTTGTGGCAATGACATATTTTTATACTTTTGCCCACCACATTCGTAGAATGCTTGGCGTATTTAAATTGTGGTTTGTGCAGTTGATTTTGTGGCCTTAATTCTGTAATAATGGTCATTGTCTTCACTAAATTTTCCCATTTGTATGCACCAACACCTACCATTTTTCAAATTTTTTACCAAAAGAGTTAAAACCCCTGCAAAGGACAAGAAAGAATAGCAGCCACCTCTATAGTAACGCCATCAAGAGAAAGATCCCCTTCCAATAGACATCAAGGACCTGTCCAAACTCTTTTGAACAATGAACATCTTAAAACTGCTGATATTTTGATACTATTTTGATGTTTTAATTGCTGCTTGGTTTATTAAAATATGGTCAATATTTTAACATGACAAACTGCATATAAATCGTGTTATTTGTCTATTTTTTGTAACATAAACTTGCCAAATAAAGCATGATGCCACTATTTAGATCTCCATGTCTATATAAATATTTCCATCTTTCATATATTTTTTCACAATTTTGTATACATTTCACACGGTTTTAAATCCCGCAGCATCGCGCGGGTACCTTTGCTAGTTATATATATACTAAAGCTGAATAAAATCACTGTTTCTAGACTATTCATTCGCAATAGTGAAATGACGGTTTTGCCCTCCACTAAACCCTCCCTTTTCAGACCCAAAAAAAAAAAAAAAAAAAAAAAAAAACTCTCTTTTTGTCCTGTCGACTTCCCCTTCGAGTTCAACTCTCTTTTCGTCTTCATCGCTCTCATCGTTTCATCGTCTCATCGTTCTCATCCTTTCTTGCGTTCTCATCTCATCCTTCTTCAAAATTGCCTATTGAGAAGTAAAAATCGAAGCCAAGCAAGTACAAATCGATAAGAGGGGTAAACTTGCCTATTGAGAAGTAAAAAAATGTTGGTTCAGCCATCTTTCCAGTTCCGCTTCATCCTTCTTCTCATCGCACGGGTTTAGCTCAGAGGGATTTCTAGGTTTTGGAAAAAAAAAGGTTGGTTTTAAGGTTCTTTTGGTTTTCTAAGTTGGTTTATTTAATTTTCATGTCGAAAATTGAGAAGCAAATCATAAATTGACTTTGGTTTGTTGTTACAGGGAGGAAGATCTAAGGAAAAAGAACTGGAGTAATCAATTTGAGAACCCTCAGTCTGCTCATCAATTTGGTAATTGATGTTTCTGTGGCTGATTTTCTGTTTACATGTGGTTATAGATTCCTCTCTTTTGTTTTTTTTTTTTTATAAATATTTTTTATGACTCCAGATCAGAATTATAATTCTAATAGATGTTATAGATTTGCTGTTTGTGTGTGGTTATAGATTTTATGTGTGGCTGAATTTGATTTATTTATTATTATTATTTTTTCTGTTTGTGCTTATCTTGCGTTCTCTTTTTGGAGTTTCTCTTTGACCTTGAAGATGCCTAGGGTTCTTGGTTACTGTCAATCATAGTATGAATCTGTTCTTTTGGGATTTCGTTTTCAATTCTAACCAAGCATGACATGTACAGATAGAGACTTCAGTTAATTTTTTGTACATGATTTGCCATTAGTTCCACAAGAAATATCACAGAAAATATTCAAACACCAATAAATTAGTGGTGGATTTCATATGGGTTTTAATCTGAGAACCTGCAGAATATATACATATATATATATATAATATGATATATCCCTTGGAAGTTTTTCTTTTTTCATTTATGTATGGAATTTCTTTTTTCTCTAAAAATGCTCTGGCTTCTCCTGCATTACAAATTAGAAGTGGTTTACATTTCCAGGTGTTTTCCTCAATCATTATTTGTAGCTGTGAAAGCTATTTTTGCTACCTAGATATTTTTTTATCACGCCTGTTAATATATTATACATCTTTCCGGTGATTATTAAAGAATTATATTTGGAAAGATCCTACTAACAAAAGTTAAGAATTTGACTTTAGATACATTAAGATCCAAATCTTTTAAATCCAACAGAAGGGAAAAACCAGAAAATCACTCAAACAAATTATCCATGTTTTGATGCCCACTTTAGTTTTCAATAAAAGAAAAGGAAAATGATAGAAATTCCAGTTGACAGATATATGGCCTTATTTTAAAATATTTTGTAAAGAGAGAGACAGAGAGAGAGACAGAGAGAGAGACCAACCTCAGTTTTTTTTAATTAAAATTATGATTTATATATGTGGTACGCTTGATTTTTCATTGAATTGATGAACTGAGTATATGTTATATTAAAGATTTGACTATGGTTATGAACAGGGCATGTTCAAGATTTAGTATTTTATAAATCAAATTTATGAACTTCGCATCTATTATACTTTTTTTTGTTAACCAAAATTTTATAATGTGCATTGTCGGATGACACTGATACTTAACAAGATAAGAAAAGTTAATTTGGGTTGTTTCTTATGAATTCTTTATCTCCGATGATGTAGTTTCTAGTTGTTGAAGGCCAATAAGCCTACTCTTCTTTAAAGCCTTGTATCCATCTTTTGTTGAATAAATAAAATCACTTTTTTGTTCCCTAAAAACCCAACAGAAAACATTCGCTGAGCTGCTTAATAAAGCTCCGGTCGATACACAAGTTGGGAGTTTAGACGCAAATTCTTCTTTGAAAGACGCTTGTGTGAGGCGATTCTTTTTTTCAGGCAACTCGATTCCAATGACCAGCAAGAAGCGATTGAAAACATGCTTGGTCAGTTGTCGTGGAAGGGAAGCGAAGCCTTGAAAGATGTCACACACTTGAGACTCTCCGAGGAACGCGAGGAGGATTTTAGGCTCAGAAGATTCATAAAGCTGTGTAGTAGATATAACGGCCTTTTGTATAACTAGATATAACGGCCTTTTGTATAACTTCATAAGTAATGAAGCTAAGGGCTGGGATCTAGCCTTTTGTATAACTTCATAAGTAATGAAGCCAAGGGCTGGGATCTAGAAAGTCTACATATGCAGAAGGCAGGTGAAGAAGAGATGGAATTAATCAAGCAGTCCCGCTATGCTGAATATTACTTGGGGCTGTCAATTATTTGGTTCAAAGCACGATGGGCCAGTGATCCAGATAGTAAATTTGGAGAAGGTGATAGTGATCCAGATGGTAAATTTGGAGAAGGTGATCATATCATTGATAAACTCGTCAATGAGACTGAGGAGGATATTCAGCTCGTTAAACTACTTCAATTCAGTTCCCAGAATGATATTGTGGAACGTATTCTAGATATCTGTCTGGAGACAGAGGATGAGTTTACTCAAGAATTTGTATGTGCGGGTGTCCGGAGCAAGGGGAGGAGTTTGCTCACGATTTTGTATATATGCTGAAAGTGAAGGAGTGTCTGGAGCCAGAGGAGGAGTTTTCTCTTGAATTCATGAAGGTGAAAACTCCAAATCCAAGAGGATCAGGAGGAGCAGCAGCCACTCAAGGAGGAGGGCAGGGAGCAATTACACAAGGAGGCCAGGGGACAAGCCAACAGTAGATCATTTGCAGCCACGCACTTCGCAAAGAAGCAGCCTTCAAATAACACAATTCGGGAGATGGAGCAGCACTACTCTTCTTTATGAGTTTGCCCTGTCTCACCAGCTTGTGCGTTTTATTTGTTTTTTGTTTTTTTTGAAGGTACTCTTCTTGTTTGTTATGAGACGAGATGCAAAAGGCAAGTCTCTGATTTATGAATAAATGTCTATTATGTGTGTTTCCTAATTTCCAAAGGGATATGATGTCCTCTATCTTTTTGTCTGCAATCAAAGCTCATAGCGTAGTCACCATGAGTGGCAGTCCAAGGTCGAAATTGGATAGGCTAGCTATTGAAGAAACTTATGTCCACAGTCCACACCATGCAGAACAATTACCTGCAGATTTCATTCGATGATTTTATAAGAGCTTCTAAATGTAGGTGTAGACATACTCTTGTTCCATATATAATGCTATTCCAATACAATCTATTTTAAAGATGGTCATCTCCATAGTTTTTCATGCTAAATGAAGTCCGGTACAATCTTATGTTACTACTTGAAGCTTTCACTTTCTAAAATATGAGTTTGATGCTGCCACCATATATATGTATCCCTTGAACCATTGATGGAAGCAAGGAGATAACAATAATTTGCATTTTGATTGAGCTCCTGCAGAACATAGAATGACCAACCAGTCCCCACATCCTAAGTTTCTGCCTCAAATCATCAACTTTCTTTGCCTTACTAGCTAGGATGATAGGATCGGGCATCGCTTGATTTTAAAACCCAATTTTAAATCCTTCTGAATATGGCTAGAAGACTTGTTTTCTGATTATATGTCTTCTTGAGTCTCTTCTGAATCATTTTAGAACTTATACTATCTTTTGTAATCACTCGCAACCATCCCACACTCGACTATTGCTATACCATTGACTTAATTATCACAGTGGCTTTGGCCCTTGTACGACTGAAATTAACTTAATTTATGCAGCAGTTTCTCCAAGGACAAATAAGAAAAATTAACTGATGTGGAAGCCAAGGATAAGGGCATAAGAAATAAACTATACTGAGAGCAGCAAAACGAGAGGTCAGCTGAATCAGCCTAACAGGATTAAGTGACACAAGACCTAATACCAATATCATCATCAGTATTAAGTCAAGTGACGCAGGCATGGCTGAATGAATCCATGATATGAGCTTATCACCTACATTCAGGACTTAAAATTATAAAATTAAGCAACGCCTATTGAATCTTATTACAAAGAAACTCACGAAAATTATAAAATTAAGCAACGCATATTGAATCTTATTACAAAGAAACTCCCGCTTTCTAAGTAAAGACCCACAAAAATACAATTAAATGAAAGATATGCATCCATGATCATCATTAGCTCTAATGAGTGCTTCTAATACATTTTGGTGATCCTAACTACGTGAGCAAATATAATTTCGTCTCCAGCATGCCATGTGGAAAAGAAAAATATCTCTTAGATTAATTAATTGAGCTCATTTATTTGGCCAATTAATTAATACCAGAAATTGAGATAATATCTTAATTATGTGATATTATCTTTATTTAATAAGATAGTACCACTAATTGAGATATTATCCTAATAAGAGCATCTCCAAGGGAGATGTCAAATACCAAACATCAAATTTAAATTTGATGGCTGATGTGGCAATTTGACATTTACATAGTTTTTTACTCCACGCGATATGTCAAATAAATAATTATTGTAACAGTCAAATCATTTAAGATAAAGAAGGAACCAAAAAAAAAAGGAAAATAATAAATGAAAGTTACAACCAGCTGTCTTTAAAAAATAATAAAATATTCATTTGACATCTTGCTTTTGGGATGTCAAAAATAACAACTGAACCTCTAGCCTTCATTCCACATCAGGTTTGACAATTCGGTTGGAGTGATGTGAGATGTTATTTCTAACCGTTAAATGTCTATGTGGCACTTTTGACATATCAGTTGGAGATGCTCTAAGGAGATATTGTCATCATCAAATTAGGAGATTTGGATCCCAATCAAATCGAGATTTTCTATTTAAACCCCACACTTCTCTTTGTTCACCTCAACTTCTAATTTAAATTTTCACAATTTCTTAGAGAACCTCACTATCTTTCCAAACTACTCTTAAATACACCCCCAGCTGAAAAAATTAAAAATAAAAGAGTTTTTCTATTTAAACCCCACACTTTTCTTTGTTCATTCCAATACTTAAATCTCTAAACAATATTTGTAGTATACATGAGATTTTATCATTTTCACAAGACTGTTTTTATCATGTGATTAGATCATATGGGAAATTATAGTTTGTTTGAATTTTTCCGGCGTGTGGTAAAGGATCCTAACACTTTGGTTCCTGTTACTTTACTACGCATGGCGTTGGACTCTCTGACGTGTAGTAAAGTAATAGGGAGAAGGAAAAGGATTATTATACTACATCGGGAAAAAAATTAACATTTAAAAGAATTATGCTTAGCATATGTGAATTGTTATAGGGAAAGGGTTGTTGAGTTACAAGCCTTAAGAACGGAGTAAGGAAAAATGGGTTTGTATTAGGTTGAGATATTGTGATTTTATTTAAGGGGAAAAGATAATTCTAGAATTAACTTGTTGGTATTAGTGAAAATAATTGTATGTTATCTAGTTCGTGATTATTGATTGAAGAACTACGTGTGGCTTGATCCCCCAGTAAGAGTACATAGGTAGCTTGGGGTCTCACCCACATGCAGCCGCGAGATAAACTATACTTTTGAAACTTTAATTTGGTCATTGGAATCACATCCTAGTTATTAGATTGTTGAGATTAGTTTTGAATTTGTCGGTGGCCTGAAGCCTGATTGAAACTTAGGCGAGATTAAATGCCTGTTTATTTTCCAATTTGTACTGAAGGGATGTGGTTAAAATGTGCTTGTGGTTGTGACAGGGCTGAAACCCGTTTAGATTGATGAATGATTGTGGATTGAGCCTTTACAACTACTTATGACTGTGCATGGAGGGTAGACTATGCATGTTGAAGTTTGGGAATTTAAAACTGTGATTTTATTTTTATATGTGAAAATAATTTGGCAAATGTCTGTTTTTCAGGGGAGACTTTGCCGAAATTTTGGCAAAAAGTCTTGACCCTCTTTTCCTTTGTTTTCGGAGAAGAGGATGTTGTTAGTAAGTGGGCCCAGCATCGGTTTGATGTAAAAAAAAAAAAAATGATTTGTCATGAATTCCGAGAAATTTAGGACGGGTCCTGTCAATTGTGATGAGGGCATGATCTCTTCCTCCATTAGCTATTGGTTAGCTTGAGTGTGAGTTCATCATAGCTCTAATTAAAGAAGAGATCTACAATGCTGAAGTTGAATGAAAAATTATGTGCTGCAACTAATAAAGAATTAACTTGAAATAAGTTGAATAAAAAATTGATGATTATGGAGCCTGAACCTTCTTTGAAATTTCATGGAACGTTCCATTTTCTTTTCCATCATACCTTCATATTATTATTATTATTATTATTATTATTTTTGGTCAAAGGATGAAATTTCATTACGAAAAACTCACCCAAGAGGATGATACAAATACAGCAACACAAGCAACCCAGTAAGGAAGCACAAATCTAATCTGCAAAATCATATGAACAGGAGCAACAGACTACCCCAAATAATGATATCAACAGATAAACAAAACTAAAAATTGATATAAACTAACAAAATTAAAAACAACATAACAACAAAAACCACATAAAAGCACAAGCACCACCAAACAGCCACCATAAACCAAACACTCAAGGCAACCCCAAGGCAAAACAAACAGAGCATCAGGACAAGAAGGAGGTGGTGCAAGCTCCCGAGCTGTAGTAGTGCCGTGGCTCTACATGCTTTTCAAGATAATCATGAGAAATCGCTTTGCGGGTTATTTGCGACAAAGGAAAGCAGGAACCGATTGGAGAACAACGAAGGGATAACACTGAGCGGAATGGAATGGTAGGGATTTTGGGGAACAATAAAGATAAGAGGGATGATGCCCCAACAGAGAGGCATAAAGCCCCAGCAAAGAGGCAAAGAAGCCTAGTACCTTCAGATTTTCCTTGCTTATTTATAAACAGCAAAGAAGGTCTGAATCGCAGTAAGTAGTAGGAGTATAACAGCAGCTAAAGCAGACAAGAAAGACCACGGAGTACCAAAATACTTGGATCTAAAACCTTCCCATCGCACATGCCACACATTTCTATGGTACTTATTCACCTCTTTGAACGACTTCGATAGATAACAGTCATCAATATCGAAAGGCACATCTTTGCCAAGGTTTTTGAAGAAATGAACAACCTTCTCATCAGTTCCAAGATAATTCTCGACAATTTTCTTGTCGCAGAGAAATGATACGTCTTCAGGCGTGCGGATCAGACAACTCATGAATGCAGCGTAACTTGTTACATCCTTTGAGCAATGAAAGTAGCATTGTTCAAACGCTACAAAATTCATCAATAAATCAGTCCGTAGATTGTCGATTACTATGTGTGGAATTTCCAGCACTCCATTGCAAAATCTTATGTCTAAGAAGCTCACTGCCTTCCTTGTCTTGAACTTAATTCCAGCTTGACGAAGCTTTTTGGCTGACTGGATAAATTCAAGGGACGGAGAAGTATTTCCCTTCCTGCTACAAACTTTTGCATTGCCTTCCTTGTTCCTTGCAGAGGCTTTTTGGCATACTTAATCAATTGAACTAATGGACGAACATTTCGAGGCTCTTCCTGAGGTGAATGATCGTAGGGTTTAGGGATAAAACTCCAGCGGAGTAAATCCAGTAAATGTTTTCCTTCAACAGTAGTGAAGTCCTGATTTAAGACTTGCTTAGGGGTTTCTACTGCACAGTTAAAGAATTCCAAGGCAAGTTTAGCAAGGGATGAGTCACTATCTCCTCTTGAAGGTTTTGATTCATCAAATAGTTTTTGAAGAAGGAAGAACGGAATTTGATTCTCGAAACGAAAAAGATCTCGTAAGATATTAGCGAATATCCATTCCAAGTTAAAGATGGGATCGTCTGGATCAATTGGTGACAATTTTCCAACTTTGCAAAAGAGTTCAATAGTGAAGAGACCATCCAACACCATCATCTCAACTAGATCATGACGCTGATGGTCTCCGAATAGCACCCTCTTATTTCTTCTTCCATTGCTGCTACCACCTGCTAATAGTGATCAAGTGTTGGGCCGTTTGGAGGTGTTCGAGCAAGTAGATTGCGAAGATATTTCCATTTGTGTTGCAGTATCATCTTCAAATGTTGATCAACATGGTGATATGGACCACAGGAGACAATATGGGGCTGGTAAGTCTTCTTGTTTATTTCCGCAAGGCATTGATGTACCTTGAAAATGCAACAAGACTTTTTT